GTGTGTGTGTGTGTGTGTGTGTTTGTGTGTGTTAGTGCGCTCTACTCAAGCGCAAAGGCCCACGTGGGGCAATTTTTTTTTTTACATGTATGTCAATTGGTCGCTACTTCGCGGATTTTCGTTTATCGAGGGTGGTTTTGGTCCCCATTATCCGCGATAAACGAGGGATTACTGTATACGTTTTTTGTGTGTGTTCGTGTTTACGTCTGAGATAAAATTTGCTGCAGTGAAAAGTCTCCCATTGTGAAAAATTTCTCGCTGCAAACATGATTTCGTTGTAGAGGAGTTTCACGATATGATCTGTAATTAATTGATCTAATTAATCTATATTTTAACCTCATCTAGAAATTGCTAAGAAAACCACTATTTTCATTTTAAATTCATTACATTATTGAGGCAGATCACATCATTGAGACATCACAAAAAAGTGGCATTATAAAGTACAGTCAAACCTCGGTTTTCGAACGTCTCGGTTCTCGACCAATTCGGTTTTCGACCAAAAATTGTCACGATTCGGTTTCTGGTCTGACCAGCAGGTGGCATGTGCGGTCTTCTGTGCACACCTGCTGCCAATCCAGTCATTATGGGACCATGTATTTAAGGACTCTGCTTCAGTTCACCTGTGTCGGAGTATTGATTATTGCCTTGCTGTTTCCATGCTCTCAGACCGCTTTTGCTATAGACATCGTCGTGTTCACGCTTTTGATACTCTCGGTAACATTGTTCTTGTTCGTATGGCTTTGTTTTGTGAATTGGCTTTTTCTTGCGTGTAGTTGATACATTGTTTTTCGTTTGTATTCTCGGGTCTCGTTTTCCTCTCTTGCCTTTTGGTGCAAGCGCTTTTTGTTATTCGTTTTTTGCTTTGTTCTTCCTGGTCCTTGTTTAGACCAGCGCTTTGTTATATTTTGTCGGTGCGAATTTTTGTATTAAACATTTTTGTAATGGAGACCTTGTTGGAGTCTACACCAGGGGTCCCCAACCGCCGGTCCGCAGACCGGTACCGGTCCACAGGGCATTTGGTACCGGGCCGCACAGAAAGAACTTGCCTTATTTCCGTTTTATTTATTTCGGAATACGAAATGTGTTTTATTTTGAAAAAATTACCAGATTCTCTGTTACATCCGTCTGCGTCACGCTTGACTCAGGTCAAGGCACACTTCTTGGTCACGTGACCGATGACGCTCATAAACAAAACGCTGAAGCCCGCAAATTGAGTAAAAAAGCTGCTTGGAGATCGCAAATGACGGCGGCCTTAAAAGTACGTTCGAAACAACTGGATCAAAGTTATGGCTGAATACTCTGAGATCGCCACAATAGCACTGTTGCTATTTCCGACATCCTACCTGTGTGAGGTGGGGAGTTTCTGCAGCAACAGCGACTAAAACAAAATTACGAAGTAGACTGGACATAAACCACACACTTGAGGTGTCATTGTCTCCTATTACCCCGAGATGGGACTGTCTGATTGCAGTGGGCCAGCACGGACAAGCACTCGCGGAGCTCCGAGAGGCAGTCTCCGTGCTGGCTCATCAGCTTGATAACTTGAGTTCCCCGAGGGAACAAACGAGCAACCGAGAAACGCCATCTTCAAGATCACCTCCGGTAGCCAACGAGTTACCATCTTCCCCAATCGGGGGGCGGGAGCCTAATTTCCCTCACCCCCCTCGCTACGGTGGCGAACCGGGTCTTTGCAAACAATTTTTGCACCAATGCTCCCTAATATTCGACCAGCAACCTTCTGCTTACGTGAAGGATAGTACCAGGGTGGCATTCATAATGAGTCTTTTGACTGGTCAAGCAGCGTATTGGGCTGTGGAAATAAGCAATGCTCAACCCGGGCTTCGGTCTTCCTTCCCGGAGTTTGTCGCCGAGTTTCGTCGCGTGTTTCACCATCCTGTTATGGGAAGGGAGGCTGAAGGACGGTTATTAGCTATTCGGCAGGGGAAACAATCCGTAGCCGAATATTCCATTTCTTTTCGTATTCTAGCCGCCCGCAGTGGTTACGGTGACCGCGCCCTGTGTGGCTTGTTTCGCCGCGGTTTGAATGTATCATTGAAGGACGAACTGGCAACCCGCGACGACAGCACCAATTTGGAGGAACTCATTCATCTGGCCCTCGTTCTGGACAACCGCATACGGGAGCGTGAGCGTGAACGCGGGGACGAACCGGGACATGCCCGTCCTCCGCCCCGACGTGCGGGGCGGGTGGTCGGCTGACTTCCCACGAGTCCTGGCAACCGTCCGGACCAGAGCCTCACCCCGGTACCGGGACTGCGGATGCAGAGGGGGAGCCCATGCAACTGGGAGGCGGACGTTTGGGGCCAGAGGAAAGACAGCGCCGGATTCGGGACCGGGCCTGCTTTTACTGCGGTCAACCAGGACATCAAGTTGCCCACTGTCCCGTGACGCCGGCCCGCCTGCCTAGGCGCTCCGAGAAATGTGAGTTTACAACCGGCACTGACTCACGGGAGTCGAGAAAGGAGGAGTCCCATTCGGGACATCCTAATAGACTGGAGCTGGACGGAACTATCTATGGTCCATCACAGGCTTTTCCGATTCGGGCACTAGTGGACTCGGGGGCAGACGGTTGTTTTATCGACACTCAGATGGCAAAGGACCTGGGTTGTCCGGTAGAGGAGTTAGAAGTGGCTAAACAAGTTTACGATCTCAACGGGCGACTCCTGGCGGAGATAAAACGGATCACGGGGCCCTTAATGTTAAAGGTCTCAGGTAATCATGTCGAACAGAGCCGATTTTATATTGTGCATTCCCGTTCCGTACCTGTCGTCCTTGGGTTACCCTGGTTACAGACCCATAATCCGGTCATCACGTGGGATCGCGCTGCAATTGAGAATTGGAGCCCTTTTTGTTACGCGCATTGTCTACGGTCGGCAGCGGGGGGTAGAGGGCTACCTCGCAACGATACGCCCGAAACCATTTGCTTGGATAAGGTCCCAAGCATTTACCATGATTTACAACAAGTATTTAGTAAAGATCGTGCTCAATCCCTGCCTCCACACAGACCTTACGACTGTGCCATCGACTTGCTGGC